CCAGAGTGACAAAGTGAGACTGTCTCAGAAATAAAAAAATATAGGGTAGCACCTATGGCTCAGTGAGTAGGTCACTGGTCCCATATACCGGAGGTGGTGGGTTCAAACCCAGCCCTGGCCAAAAACTGCAAAAAAAAAAAATAAATAAAATAAATAGCCCTGACTAGCTAGGGCTCAGTGCCCGTAGCACAGTGGTTACGGTGCCAGCCACATACACCTAAGTTGGTGGGTTTGAACCCTGCCCAGGCCAGCTAAAACAACAATGACAACTGCAACAAAAAATAGCTGGGTGTTATTGCAGGTGCCTGTAGTCCCAGCTACTCGGGAGACAAGAGAATTGCATAAGCCCAAGAGTTTGAGGTTGCTGTAAGCTGTGACACCATGGCACTCTACTGAGAGCAACATAGTAGGACTCTCTCAAAAAACAACAACAAAAAACTAGCTGTGTGTTGTGGGCACCTGTAGTCCCAGCTACTTGGGAAGCTGAGGAAAGAGGATTGCTTGAACCTAGGAGTTTGAAGTTGCCACAAACTATGATGCTACAGCATTCTAGCCTGGGGCAACAGAGTGAGACTTTTGTCTCAAAAACAAACAGGCTCGGTGCCCAGACCTCAGTGATTAGGGCCCTGGCCACAGGTTGGGGGGTGACTGGTGGGTTCTAATTGGGCCATGGCTTGCTAAACAATGACAATAACAAAAAAACAACCAGGCACTGTGGTGAGTACCTATAGTCCCAGCTACTGGGAGGGTGAGGCAAGAGAATCACTTAAGCCAGCGGTTCTCAACCTGTGGGTCACAGCCCTTTCACAGGGGTCGCCTAAGACCATCCTGCTTATCAGATATTTATATCATGATTCATAACAGTAGCAAAATTACAGTTATGAAGTAGCAATGAAAATAATTTTATGGTTGAGGGTCACCAAAAGATGAGAAACTGTATTAAAGGGTCATGGCATTAGGAAGGTTGAGAATGCCCCAGAGTTTGAGGTTGCTGTGAGTTGTGACGCTACGGTACTCTATTGAGGGTGACTTTGTGAGACTCTGTCTCAAAAACAAACAAACAACAATATCCTATATAGCAGAGTTGAGTCCCAGATTATCTTGTGAGGAGAAATATCCAGCTAGACCTTTCTTGGGCTCCATGATAGGGCACATCTCTACTCATAGGAACTCAGTTTCCTTCACCTGGGTTCAGAGCCAAGGCAAAAAAAAAAGTCTTGGCGGGTGGTGCCTGTGGCTCAAAGGAGTAGGGCGCTGCCCCCATATGCAGGAGATGGTGGGTTTAAAGCCAGCCCTGGCCAAAAACTGAAAGAAAAAAAAAAGTCTTGGCAAACACACCTTCCCTGCCTGGATGGTCCCCCTTCAAGCCTCCCTGTCTGAGGAATAATTTGAATATGGACAGAAGCTCCAACCTCTGAAAGTAAACGATTTCTGGAGTACATGGTTCCTTGAGAGAATATGGTTACCACCTTTGCCTTCTCCCTCCTAGGGAAAGCATGGCAGGGCCCAGCCCTCTGGCATGTTACTTCACTACTTCCTAACTAGGTTTTCTTGAGTCCATGCAGTCTTCTTTTTTTTTTTT